AACTTCAAATATTTTGAATTGCGAGGTCGCTTTTGGATTCGTCTAAGGAATTCGTACAACAAAAAGGAGACAGCAATTTGGCTCATTTAAAATCAAATGTTTTTGCGATCTCCGTTTCAGAAGCCTTACAAGCTAAAAGTGCGAATAATTCCGACTTTGGTTTGTTCGTTTGGCTTAGACCCTATGCGATCTAAAATTTATTCAACAAGAGGTGGCTGTACGAATTGAGAGGGAGGGACAAGGGTTGCCAGTATTGTTTTTAATGCAGACCACTTCACTGATTACTACAATGATGTGAAACCACACGTTTGTCAAATACTATACGTTTTGATTGAGTGAAAAATAAGAAAAAAAAAAAAGTTTGCAGAAACGGTGTGCTGATTTGCGTAGGTTCAGCAAAAAAAGCTGCAACAGGGATTTCTAAAAAGTCCGTTTTGTTCATCACCATGAAACGTATTCGCTCAACTGCACGCATGCATTTCTGCCTGTTAAATGCTGTTGCCCACTGTTACATTATACACGCTCTTTTGGTTTACTGAGCTTTTTTTTTTTGAAATTATCATTTTTAGCTTTCAAAACTGTTATCGATGCGTATGCACTATCAGTGCAATGAAGTTTTTGATAAAGGAATAAAAAAATGTCACGGAACATTCCAGGACATGAAGGTATCACTTTTATTTTTAATTCACTGGTACCTATTTCTCACTAAGTTTTTCACCACTTGCCTAGTTCTTTTCTTCACAGTTTATTCAAAATGAAAAGGTTACCAACTGAGCGCTTCTCCTGACAGAAGCAGCACTTGACAAGTCCTTAGTTGTTTTCGAGATTTCATTGGTGTGTGTTAAGTACATTACCGTCTTGTCTCGAAGGCTGCTACTTCTGGACTGCGATGAGGCACCTCGTTTTTGCCGTTTCTAGCAACTAGGCTCCACTCACAGACATATTGCCTTACTCCCTTCAGCAACTTAAAAAGCTGCTGTGAAGTTCATCCGAAGATCATTAATCCGTAATAAGGAAAAGAAGAAAAAACAGAAA